AGGGAAACGTGGAAAAAGTGTTTCCGCCACAACTTATAAAAGTTGGACTCAGACACGACATCGAGGCTAGCGGCCAGAAAGTCGGATTTGATGGACTCATAAATTGATCTCTTCGTGAAAGCAGCCGGGAGTCGAAGCTTCGGTCTGGAAACCCCACCTTGGTTAGCCACCTCATTCGGCATGCTATCCGCATGACACTCGATGAACGTTCTCATGCTGGCAAGCATGGCGACCGTTGTATTGGTTGGCCTATATTTTCCCGTCAGGCCATGCTCGGAACGCACGTAGCCATTGTCGAAACGTTTTTTGTAGCTGTAAAATGTATTACGTGAGACACCGATTACATTGCAGTACGCCCTGATGCACATTGAACGTTCCAACTCCACAGGGTGGACACGTTTCTGTCCACTCTCATTTACTGTGAAATCCTTAATATTTTTCATCCACCACTCAGCTCGCTCTCCCGGACTCTTACTGTACAGTCCTTGTCTAACCTTTCGCACTTCCTCAGGCGACACGTCGTAACAACATCGAGCCTTGCAACATGCCATGCCGCGCACCATGAGCAGTCTTTTTCCGGACAGCATGTTTCTCGCTCTTTTATACTGTTCTTTCCTCCTAGCGTTCCTATTAGCCATGTTATACCTTCGTCTTTCGCCTGGCAGAGGTGTGGACAAAATCTGCAGTATCGCCCTTCTCTCTGCATCACCCCTGCCAGACGATTCTGACCCAGACTCGCTCTGACTTGGAATCGCATCATCACTTCGCATATGCGTTGGACTCGCCCGTGCTGTGGAAAGCTCCTCCGAAGAATAGTCGGTGGCAACCAAGTTCGTAGTACTGGAGCTAGCGCGAAGCAAAGGTCCACTGGAATAGGACCGTTGTCCAGACGAGTAATCAGTGGTCACCAACCGCTCACTCTCGTCATTAGACGATGCGTAAGAAACACCCATTGGCACGCAACTGCTGTGCGCCAAAGCTGTGGGGTGCACCTCGCCAGGAATGTGGAACTCTATCCGGGAGGTAGACGGTTCTTCGGCCGCGGACGTTGTTGGCAATTCTGTAGGCAGTTGGATGCAACCTCCAAAGCTCTCACGAAAAGCGAGATTTCGTTTTCTGGGGAAATCCGCAGCTGACTGTTGGAACGGCGAACTGTCCGAAGAGGTCGTCGGGGCCAACTCCAGGTGTTGTAGCTGGCAATGCAAGTCGACGGCTTGTTCAGTCTCCATAGCCCGGTTCATGAGGCCGTTCGCCGAGCCTTCTTCGGCGCCGTCATGCAACCGTCGGTGCAGCGGATGCGATTCCCGTCAGTGCAATGGATTATTCTCTCTTGTGCGGGTCGAACGGGTCATTCGAATTCGTGTCCACACCCTGCAAAACAGCGGAGCAAACTGTAAGCACGGTCAAATTTACGCGTTGAGTGCACAAAGTTCGCCGGGATCCGAATTTGGTGGGTGCAGGAGTAGCAAGGAACCTGTTTTCGCGTGGCTTGTGTTAGTGGAAGGTAGCGCCAGTGGGTGCACACAAGGAACGCTATGTTTGGGCGAACAAAAGGAAGGCTCTGTTCTCGGTGAACGATAACACGCGCAGAACAAAGGGTAGTGGTGGATGCACCATCACATAATTCGGCGTAGCGCGGCCCCAAACAGACCCCTTTAAACATCGATTCTCACCATCGTCTAAGCGAG